AAGTCTACTCTGGAATTTATTATTTGTAAATTCCGTACCATTATCTGTTATAAGAGTTACTAATTTCTTTTTAGTTTTCCTCTCTGCAAATTTTAACCAATTAAAGAAATTTGTATATGTTTCAGTTTTTCTCTTCATTAGAAAACAGAAACCATACCTAGAATAGTGGTCCATAATGCTTAAAATGTATCTATCACCACCTACACTTGGCTTTTTAGGACCTATTATATCGGCAAATACTACCTCTAAAGGCTCTTTGGTAGTAAATCCATCAACTCTATTTGCCGGTATAACTTTGCTTTTGTTTTGATTACAAGCAGAACATTGCAAATACTTATTACAAGGTTTCAAACTTATTCCTTTAGATAGTTGAACAGTTCTCTTAATCATTTTAAAATTTAAATGACCTAGCCGTCGGTGTAACAAGTGAATACATTCATCATGAGGTTTCTTATTATCATAAACCCTGTTAGCCACCTCTAAACCATTATCATTTAACACATATAAGTCACCTCTTAACGTTGCAGTAATTTTCTTACCTTCTTTTTCTATTAAACAAGTATCTCCCCTAAAGGTAATTATGTATCCTAATCTAACCAACATTCTAACAGAAAGCAAATTAAATTTAAGTTGAGGTACATATAACATTTTTATGTTCTCCTTTATACTAGAACAATGAGCAATACCTTCACCTTTTGCCTTCATTTTCCATCCGTTTGCCAATGAGATATGCTGTGAACTCATGGATATTTTTACAATTTTTTTGTTATCATTTGTAATACAGTGGGACGCACCACTGTCAACCACCCATAAATTATTTTTTACAACTCCATTACTATACATTGCTAACTCATAATTCTTATTTCTTCTTTGATGGCTTCCAGCATTCTGGCTTGCATTCTGGCGTTTTGGTTTCTTACAAAATCTTGCCAAATGTCCTCTCCTTCCACAATTAAAACACTTTTTAATTGCGAATGCAGTAGGAGATTCATTATTTTCCTTTTGAGGTTGCTCCCTCCTTAACTGATCTCTTTCAAGTCTTCTTCTGGCCTCTTCAATCAATCTGCCAGTGATATCAGTTAAAGTTAGGCTTTCTTTAGGCAATATTTCAAGGGAAGTTATGTAGTCATCAAAACTTTCGTCTAATGAAGATAGAATTATGTAGACCTGGTGTAGCTCAGAGAAAATTAACTCCTTCTCATGAAGTTCTTGAAAAATGCTTTTCATAGTATTCAAATGACTCAGCATATCACCATTCTTTTGGAGATACGTGCGGAAAAGCTTCCGTGTTAGATTTATGTGAGCACCAACGTTATCTCGAACATAAATCCTCCTCAGTTTTTGCCAACACCCAACAGCAGTTTGCTCTCCTCGTATATGAACAAGTTGCTGATCAGTTAATGTTAGTCCTATGATGCAAAGAGCTTGTTCATTTTTCTGTTTAAATTCTTCTATCTTTTGACTATCTTCCTCATCTGCAGGATCCCATTCTTCTACATTTGGTGGATTTTCAATTATGTTCCACAGACCTTCTCTTCGTAGAAGTAGACTTCATTTCATAGACCATGAAACATAGTTTGTTCCATCCAGCTTGGATATAAGGGACAAACTTTGTAGACTGACTTGTGCCATGTTTCAATATATGGATATAAAACTATAATTGATAAAACACAGCTGTCTGTTTACTGTAACGTGTAACAACACAAAATCTCACTTTTTACATAAACCTGTTTTTATCCTAGTTAAACTGACTTTGCAGTCTCTCTGGGCCCATAACCAGTGTTAAGCCTGGATTCCCCAACGGGTGTTAAGGAAAACAAACTAAACAGAACGTGCAGCGAAGTCAGATAGGAAGACAGATGAATGTGTGAGATAAGTTTTCTAGTTAACACGCAGTAAAAATACAGATACGCTTGTGCTATCAAAAATATAGTTTATTCCATTTAAGAATTATAGCTTAGTCAAATAAATGGTCCATTAGTCATATATCAATTTCAGTCAAGTCTTGTCGGGGATACTCTATTTGCAAAATCCGTGTTGAGTAGCCAATGTCAGTTCACTTACAATAAATCAGTCCAATCTTTATTTTCTCTCCGTTGAGAAAAATCAACACTCCTTGTTCTCTCCCCGTTCCAGCAAGAATGCAGTCATCAATCCATCGAGTAATTAGTGATCAGTAAGCCAGAGAGAGCGAGCTGCAATTACCTCGCTTCTAATATAGTGCTTTTACAACCACACCCTTAATTACATTCTTGCAGTTAAAGTTACACACACTTTAACTAACAAACCATGATACCTTATTTATTATTTTTACCCAAAACAGTTAGGGTAAACAATGTTATCCCTAACACTAAAGATAAACCGCACCAAACTTGATTGCAGGAAATACGATTACAGCAACAGAGTAGTCAAAGTCTGGAATACTCTACCGGACTCTGTAGGTTCTTCCCCAAACCTCAAAATCTTCAACATTAGACTGTCTACTATTGACCTCACCCCTTTCCTAAGAGGTCTGTAGAGGGTGTGCATAAGCGCACCAAAACGTGCCTACCATCCCTGTACTATTGTTTCTTTTTTTCTTATTCGTATCCATTTCTTATATTTATAATGAAATGTTTATACTTATACCTGTTATCTAATAATTGTTTGACAAAATAAATAAATAAAAAATAAATAAATTATGCTTCCTACATATATAAGATCCCTATAGATAATACATGCATCATGGAAGAATGTTACATTTTGTTCTAAAGTAAAATTAAGACTCCTTGTGAACAATGTATGCAATTTTCCATCATGCTTGAAAGTAGCCACTATTGTCCCAGTCCCCAAGAAAACAGCAATTAACTGTCTAAATGACTACAGACCTATCATATTATCATCAGTAGTGATGAAATGCTTTGAAAGACTGGTTCTCCAACACCTTAGGAAATGCCACCTACAAAGACTTAGACAAACATCAATTTGCCCTACAGGGTGAACAGGTCAACAGACAATGCCATAGCTACTGCCTTACATTCTGTAGCGAGCCATCTGGAGAAACCCGGAAACGATGTCAGGATGCTTTTCATTGACTATAGCTCAGCCTTCAATACTATCCTGCCAAGCATCCTTATTGAAAAGCTGTCTGACTTGGATTTTCCCTCTTCCATCTGCAACTGGATCAAAAACTTTCTGAGGGACTGACCACAAACAGTGAGGGCTGGGTCTGTCACATCTGCCTCCCTGAAGCTTAGCACTGGCTCCCCACAGGGCTGTGTGCTCAGTCCCTACCTGTACTCACCGTACACACATGATTGTGTATCATCTGACCCAGGAGTCGGCAATCTTTTGGACCTCAGGGACCACCAAACTCATAATTTTAAATCCCGGGGACCACTAATATGAATTTTGACTGACGGCGGCTTGTTGACATTGGTGGGAGAGAGAGAGAGAAAGAGATCTGATCCAATCTCTCTCTCTCTCTCTCTCTCTCTCTCACACACACACACAAACACACACACACACAGGGGTGGGATTCAAATTTCTTAACAACCTGTTCTGTAAGTGTGGCCTAATTTGTGTGTTTGGCTTGGTGGTCATGTGACTGGCTGGGCATGACTTGTATGTAAATATTATAAATATTTATGTATCTTTTTTTTTTATAAAAAAAGAGCAACTTTTACCCAAAATTAGGCAAAGCAGGCAGGCAGATTGAGTTGCTCGTAGAATTACATATTTACCCAGAGATCTATCTTTCTGCCGTCAGCTTCCTGAATCTAACACATAAAATTTGCTTGCAAGCAAACTTACAAAATTAACTCACAACACACCATGTATGTAAATATTGAATTTTTAATTAAATAAAGAGCAACTTCTACCCAAAAGCAGGCAAAGCAGGCAGGCAGATTGAGTTGCTCACAGAATCACAGATTCACTCAGAGGTCTATCTTTCTGCCATCAGCTACCTGAGTCTATACTGAATAATAGAAGCTTCAGTCCTAAGGAAGGTTCAGCTCAGCTTAAAAGCAGAGCCGAAGATCTAAAGATTAGCTAGAAAGCAAGAAATCCAATGATTTCCTGCTTTCTAGCTACTCTAAATCTCCTGGCACAGCAGAACAGCTGATGGTTGGGGAAAAAATAGCCACTTAGCAGGGAAGTTTGCCAGGTAAGAAGTAAGTGGACAGGGAGGATTCTCTTGGGCCATGAGGGCAGCACAGCCTTGTGTTCCTGCGTAGCCTGGATTGATTGCTTTGGGAGCCCCCTGCTCTGGGGGTGACATTTCTCTGCAGACCACCAAAATTTTCTCGCAGACCACCAGTGGGCTGCAGCTCACTGGTTGGCGACCACTGGTCTGACCCATCGACTGTGATCATTAAGTTCATAGATGATACTACTGCATTGGGTCTCATTACAGGTGGAGATGAAACAGTGTACAGGGAGGAGATTCAGAAATTATCCTCCTGGTGCCTAGAAAACAACCTGCATCAGCAAGACAAAGAAGATGGTGTTAGACTTCAGGAAGAAGAGAGAGGAACCTGTCCCACTTTACATCGAGGGGAGCTGTGTGGAGAGTGTTTCCTCCTTTAAATTCCTCAGAGTCTACTTCAGCAAAGATCTTATCTGGAAAATCAACACAACCTAGGTGGCCAGAAAGGCCCAACAGAGACTCCATTTCCCTAGGGTCTTGCAAAAGAATAAAGTGGAACAATGACTGATAACCTCCTTTTTCCAGTCCACAATAGAAAGCATCCTCACAGATTGCATTATGGTGTGGTATGCTGGCTTGACAGCCGCAGAAGGAAAAACATTACAGAGGGTGGTGAACACAGCACAAAACATCATGAGCTGTTCCCTGATACCACTAGATGACATTGCTAGGGCTCGCTGCCTTAGAAGAGTGAGGAAAATTCTCAGGGATGACTCACATCCTGGTCAGCACATCTTCACTCTCCTATCATCAGGTAGGAGATATAGAAGCATAGCCAGCCATACCAACAGGCTGAAGAACGTGAGCTGTCAGACTTCTGAATGGAAAATAACTTCATGTCAACATAGTATAATAGACTTGCAGGGCCAGCGCGTTGTGCAACAAGATCACATAGGGTAATAAGATTGGGACAGGGTTAAGGACTTCTGTCCTCACTGTGAGTTGTGTTGGGGGTGTGTGCACAAAGGGAGGCTTAGCCAATCTCATTGTATACATGTTGTTCTCTGACAATAAAGGTAATAATAATTTTGGGCATCACTCTTTCGGAAACAATTCAAGAAATAGAAAAAAGTTTGAAGAAGGACAGTGAACATGATCAGGAAAGGGAAAGGTAAGTTTTACAAGAAGACACTTTGAGAACTGTGTATGATTAGCCTTGAGAAGAAGTTTGCTAGGAGGCCATATAATAACACTTTTTGTCTATCTGAAGAGTGTCATAAATAAGATCAAGACTTCCAGAATCCAGGAGCCAGAATTAAACTGTTAATTTACAATGAAACAAATTCTAATTGAATGTCAGGAAAAAATTCAGAATAAAAAAATAAAAAAAATGACAGTAAAAACAGTTGTCTACGAAGATGGTGTACTCTTTTATCTATATACTACTGAGGCCCTCATTTCTATAACATTTAACTGTGTGAAACAGTGCATCATAGAGCAACAATTTTTGAACCAGGGTTACCTCAAATGGGCTAATTTAGAGCATGCATCCAAAAATCTGGGATTGAAATTTTTCAAATTTATGGTTACTTCAGTGCTACCATACTGCCATGTGACTTCCAAAGATTCAGTGACCAGTCCCAATCCCTACTTTGGCTCATGGAGATCAGGTAGATGGGTTCTACCCTAGTTCTCCAGAGGCTAGGTAGATTGGTTTCACTATTAGCTGCCAGAGGACCATGAGCTGCAGTCAAGCTGGCAGGAAATTGAAAATTGCTCCTACACACCTGTTGCTTTTTTGTACTTGGTCATTCTGTTTCTTGGGAATGGAAATATTTCTGAAACACTGACTCAAGAGATCATGGCGGTCTAGTAATGAATATAACCAAACAAATGTTGGAGAGATCTGAGAAGATGCTTAGATGTTAGTTTCCTTTACTGATCAGGGACTTGGATTCTGCCTAGTGGCTTTTTCTGCCTTTGTCTCTGGAAATGTCATGATGGGTCATCTCAGAGCTCTTCCTTCATTAAACCGCTCCCTGCCAGCATCCTTGACACCAGTTTATTTTCCAGAAGCTTGTTACTATGGACAGTGACTTTCTAATTCCTATTCTCTCCCATGGAGTATTTGTTGGATTTTTATTATTGGAGGCATTATCTTTGTTGACAGGAGAACAATTTAGGGCACAGCTCCTTTTCTCATGAGAACTATCTGCAGAGAGGCTGTGGTTTTACAGCTTTGAAATTAACTCCTTCCTTCCTTTCTTTTTCTGAAAAATAATGTTCCATTTCTTGTATTTCAATTTTATTTTTCCTTGTTTACCACAGCAGACAAGAATTAATTTGATCTTAACATTTGATCTTGTTCCTGAGTTTTAGTTCCATTGTTACCTCTTCATGTTCCATTTCCATCATTCATTGATCTCTGCCATTTGTGTATTTATATAATCTTTTATTGCTTCAATTTAGTTCCAGAACAATGATCTATTCCTTGTCAGTTTAACTTCCCTAATGAGATTTTAGGCCGTTTCTGCTTGGCTTAATTCTGTTTGTTTTTCTGATATTTTTCTGTACTTTTCTGTCATATGTTCCAGAATGAATAGTGTGGGATTTTTTGCTCTCTTATGGATCATGAAGAATGCAATTTCACTAGTTCACTCTTAAACCCTAGTGATTTTAGGAGTATTTATGCAGTTTCTCTCACAAAAGCTGGAATTGTTTAACAAGATCCTGTTTATATTTCTGATCACTTCTTTTAAATATTATTTAGTTCTTTAAAAAAAGTAGATACCTGTATGCCACATTACAATTTAACAAAACATTTCACTGCAACTCAGGAAGAAATATAAAATAACTTTAGTATATGAAAAAAGAAATCCAGCATTAATTAAAAGAGGAGAAACTATATTTAATTACAATCCTTCATCAATTTTCATCCATAAAAGTGTTCCAGTTAAAAGAAAGATTAATTAGTGAAATAAAGAGCCTCGTTTATAGTTAGACATATTTTGCAGTTTTTTCCTCATGTATTTTGTTTGTAACTATCAAGTTCTGTCTCACCCAACGTCTCCAGAATATTATTTGTTTACTTACTTACTTACTTACTTACTTACTTACTTACTTAGCTTTCCATCTTACCACAGGATAACTCTGGGCAGTTATATTAACATCTCCACAAATTAAATAATAAAAACAGGTAAAACATTGTTCATTAGATCCACCTAGAGTTAAATTCCATGACTAAGCATTATTGAATATCAAGATAATTCTGAATATAGGTCTGTGGTATTTATTTATTTAAATAACAAAGACAGATTCTTTCATGTTGCATTCTTACTGTTTGATATTGATTTTTATGTTTTTTTTTCTTTTGAATGATAGAGTGCTATCTATAAGGGATGTCTCAGTACTAGACAGGACAAGGGGAATTTTAATAAAATACTTATTGTCTTTTTAATGAAAGATGCTTTTGAAAGAAAACCGATCAATGCAAACTCATGTGGTCAATCAACTCTATTTCCTTAGTAACAACTCAAGTATATATTTTTTTCAAATTGTTTCTTTAAAAATTAAGGGTTGTTTATCAAAATAGAATTTTCAATGATCACACATACATGATTTTATAATCATTTTATGGAAGGCCACTAATCAAAGGAAGTAACCATTATTGCACAAATAATTATTTATTATTTTAGAAATCTATCCTAGGGAATAGGATTCAGAGGATAGACAGAGAATAATTACCTATACCCAATGTACAAATGACTTTTCTGTTGCATGTTTGGAACAAAGTTCTAATTTGATTTATCTGGAATTCTAGGCTGTTCTTTAATTATTTATTATCTTGTTTAATGAAAAAATTCCATGTAGCTTAGCCTGATTTTGGAAACTTCATGGAAATGTCCATATGTAGTATTGGGGGAGGATGGGAACCACATAATTGTGATTTGACATTGCTTTTATGATGGTTTTATTTAAAATGTTACTCCTGGTATTTTGTAATGGTATTGACCATTAACCAGAATTTAACTTTTTGAGTTAGCTAAGTCATCTACCTAAGAAATATGTTGACATATGAAAGCCGTGATGGAATTTTTAAACATCTTTTTAAATTGATTTTAGTATGTTTTCATTTTTAAAGAGATGGGTGTACATTTTAAAAACTTTGGGAGAGAATGTCAAAATATAAAGGTATCTACAAGATTTTGTGAAAATAGTAAAGAAAATAGCTGCAATGCATACAGATCAGGGCCAAATTTGATTGCCCTCTTTCATGGCTAGCATCTTAAAACCACAGATGAGGATACTAGTTAAAATATTCCTCATCTGCAATTCATACTGAAATTTGTTGTATTTTTATTATCTGAGGCATTATCTAGGAACTTTAAGACTTGTGATTAATCTTGGTGACATTTTTAATTTCATTTCCTGTTGAAGGTGGTAGAAGATATGTTGATCTATATTCCACATGTATTCCATTGTTGGGCACATGTGTGGACACACAAGAAAAAAAATCCTCTAGGAAAGTCAATCATGATTTCTTTGTTAGACTGAAATATGGGAAGCCAGGAATATTATAGACGTCTGGAATAATGGTGTAATCCTAAAAGCAAGACATTTATGAGTGCCTTGTGGGCAGAAATGCATGACAAAAGTCCCTGGGCCAATAAGCAGCTTAAAACTTCCAATTTGGACATTTTCTGAAATTCTCTTCACTTCTGAAATAATCTGTAATGCATTTTTATTTATTATTAGATGAATGATGACCCATTGGATCATCATTTTGAAGATATTTCCTTACTTATATAGAGAATCAAAATGACCTTGCGTAAGCAAAATATCAGTGGGAGCAAGAGTGATTTCTGATTGCCTATTGGTTTCGCCATTGAGTTTGCTTCTGAGAATCTGGCAGTGAGCATCAGGAATTTTCCTCCCTCCTGTCCTCTCCCTTCCTCCCTTTCTCCCTTCCTTTTCTTTTCTTTTTCCTTTCATCCTCCCTCCTCCCTCTTTCTTTTTCTTCCTCCCTCTTTCCCTTCCTTCTCCCCTCCCTTCTCTGCCTGTTCCTTCCTTGCTTCCTTGCTTCTCTTCCTCCTTCCCTCCCTTTCTTCCTCTTCCTCTCTCCCTTAATGGGTTCTGGCATTCTGTAAGTTAGCCCATTTGCGGTACTTTTGTTGACAATTATTTGCCCTATGATGCAACATTTCACTCAATTGAAGGTTGCAAAATGTCAAACTGACATGAGTTTTTAGTAGTATATAGATTAGTTTGTCTCCATGCCACCTTTACAAAATGGCTCAGGGCAATGTATATTAAATTGTAAAACATTTAAACTGCATACAGTTCACTTGCACACCATTTGAAACTGCTCAATATCATTAAGTTAGCTCAATGACAGTCTTGAAATTTTCTAAAGAATAGAGAATCCTGGAATCTATACAAAGTAGGTTTTGAGGGGCAAGGATTGAGATGACTAAGTGAAACTATAAAACCTGAAGATCGATACTTTTGATGATCTTAATAAGTAATGAGGACCATGCAGAAAAATATTCTCTCAGGTAATCTGAACCTAACCTATTCATCTTTCACCAAACTCTTCAATTTTATGATAGGTAAACATTTGTGAATTATTCATACATCTGTAACAACTAGACATCTATAGCAAATTTTTGAATAGGTGCTGGATGAGGAAAAAGGAGGATGAGATTATAGATGTATAGAAGTATAGCAGAAAGAGAGTTCTTTCTGTTAGGGACATACTGGATTATGTCAGATGCAAAGAACATTCAGTGAAGTATTGAAGAGTTTGTTATTTCTACCTATACATTATAATCTAGTCAACTAATGGTCAAAACTAATTTGGCATTAGATAAGGGTGAACAGATTTCATAGAGGATTGGGCCTAGGTCTTTTGTGGCAATACAATGATTCCAAACTGATGACACATTTAATCCCATCTTCCAGTTCAGCCTACTCATGTCCTACATCCTACATTCTAGAGTAATAGGTTTGACTAAACATGCATTCTTACCTTATCATTGCCTATTAAATACAGTGAGAATAACATTAAATAAATGCACACACAATCATTAAGTATTAGATTTTTTTTTATAAAAATCCCTTCAGTTTAAAAAGAAACAAAAAACATAACATCAAGTTTTTTAAAAAAAATCTTAGGATAAATTCTAGCCAACAATAGCATACATGCAGAAATTTATATTACATCATTATAAAAATTGTAGGAACAGAAAAACCTGCATAGTTTGAGTTGAACTTTTTAATGAGGGACTAGAAATAAATATTGCACAATGGCTGACAGAGAGCAAAATAAAATAACAGCTTAGAATAATGGCTGAGGGCAAAGAAACAAAATGTTTAAGTAAGGACAATACAGTGGAGATGTGCTATAGATTAAGAAACTCTCACATGATAAATTTGCACCATAATAAAGTGTAATTATTCAGTATAATGCACCATATAATAGCTACATGTCTTAGCTAAATATTAATAATTCAAGACACTAAAAAGTTCAGTTATCTAAAGGGATTCTATCTACTATAGAGAAAATATCAAAACGCATTAAGTATATGAACAATGAAATTGAGAAAAATAAACCATGATGGATAGATATATTAACAAATAGAACAAAGAAAATGATTTTTTGAAAATATGAATAGAATGGTTTTATCATTCTAAAATAATATCAGATTTTTATACTGTAAGTAGTATTGTAGTGAGTACAATATAACTATATTAAGTAGACAGTAAATATTTCCTAATGAGATGTTTCGGATTCAGCAAAGTTATGAACCAAATCAAGCTGATTCAAACAGATTAGTCCTAGTTTAGAGCATATGCAATAGTTATATGCCTATTTATTCCTTTCTATTTTATTATTTTAGAATTTAAAAAGGGAAGAAACATTATTCTTCATTTTCTACAGTAGAAAATAATAAAGGTAAACTAAATGAGAAGAGATGTTTATAAACACATATGTACACTGAAGTCTTGATCAGCTATCTATCTTCAACAATGCTTGATTTATAACATATTTTATTATTTGAATACATAACCAGTAGAAAAGTATAGAATACAGTCATAAAGCACATGGTACTACAGTTTTAATAATAAACAAGAACATATGTAGCTCAGGGCTGAACTGACAAATTCTTGATGATCCCTGAACTTGGTTGTTTGCTTACAATTGTTTCATTACCCAAGCACTTTTGGTAATACCATCAATGCAAGTAGTAGTAGTACAGTGCTGATAAATGAATATGAAGTTTTTGTGAACAACGTTCCAGATGGAAACAAAATCCCAGAACAAGGGTGTCCAACCTTGGCAACTTTAAGATGTATGGACTTCAACTTCCAGGATTCCACAGCCAGCATGGTGATTAATCACCAACTACTCTGAGAATAAGGCAGAAAAAGAATATAAGCCTACCTCATATGGCATGATAAACTTCAAAGCAATTTTCAGTACAGCATTGCTTTACAGAAAAAAATCAATTTACTGATGTGGACTTATAGGTTTGGTTAATAGATGTAAGAAACCAATAGTCCAGTTCTCCCAAGCAAGCCATCCATTCCAACTCGCTGGCCAGTGAGAAAATGGAGTGGGGGTAAGACAGAGCTGGTCATGGCTGGTTACACCTCTGGACTTGACATATTTATTCCATACATGCCTTAAGAGAATAAATAAATTATAACCAATTTATATTGAGATACAATTACTGCCACCATTTTCTGTTTTTGCCACATTTACTACCTGACTTAGTAGCTGTTTGCATGTATGATTTTGTAATTTTTATTAGCCTTTTATAGTAATGGAATCAATTGATACCAGCTCCTTAATACTACTGCAACTTGCTTTCCATACAGAATTTGCAGTTATTTACCAACCCTTCCTTTTTTGATTGTGGCTCAGGCCTAGTCAAGCAATGAGAGCAATACCTTCATGTGATCTCAAAAGATTTCTGATTATACTGTAGTTAATGTTCTGACAACCCACTGGCAAATTGGTAGTTCAAAATGTGAGAATGTATTTCTTTGCAACAGCTTGCCATGTGCTTGGTCTTGCTTCTGCAGCATGGAGGAAAAAAAAACTGGAAGAAGGCCTGGGTACTACAATTTCCAGCCTCCTTATGGAGTAAGCTGGAATTGTAGAATTTCTGCTTTGGTAATAGCTGGAGAGGCACACTTTCCCATTTTAGAAGAAAAATGCAGTTTTCTGTACAAGATAACAATTATAATAAATTATTGCAAATATTGAGCTTCTGACATATTTTACACATACCCACACACATCCATGTGCAGAGTAATATAGTATAAAATAGTGATCTTATTGTTTGTCTGTAGTTCTTCTATTGTCCCAGGCATTGGATGTAATCCCTCTTGTTAGAGGTGTTTAACATATGCTGTATATATGTTAGATAGTTACCATGTTGTCATTTCCTTATTGGCTTTTTACATTATTTGATTGTATTTATAATTTGTTTTTTTAGACTGTGAGTCTTCCAGAGTGTCTCTGGAGTTGGGGTTGCCAAAGTCAAATCAAATCAATAATCTGGACTAGGACAATACAATGCAAACAAAGATTACTTAGTTCGTTAAGTTCATGTACTTGCTCAGAATATAGGGAAAGGTATTAGAAGCAAGAGAGAGTATACAATTGGAAAGAGACAAGAGAAGGTAATATGTGGCATTCTGCTAAATAGAGGCTTTTTTATTTAGGTTAATCTCTCATAGCAACCATTTTGTGATAGGGCAAAAATCTTTCCTGAAGCCAGCCATTTTCCCAAAAGCATTCATGGCATCTTTCCCAAATTTTAGATGTGATGAGATCCCATGGGATATTTCATTTTCATTTTCTATTTCTTTTTCATTTCATTTCAAAGAAAATTCTGTCATTATCTTGTTTAACTGTAGAAAGATAATAAAGAAGCAGTATATTCAGTTGATCACTAAAAATGTCACATTTATTCTAATCTTTAGTATTCTGCCAGTAAGTATAAAAATACTGGAGTGTAGTTTGAGAATAAGTGGTATTAATATTCAGCATAAAATAAATTTTCAGTATCTTTGCATTTGCAGTGTGCACGTTAATCCTAATATTTTTGAGTATTCCTAATATAATGTTCTGTCTTCTGCTGCTTTCCAACATTCCCAGCTAGCAAGACTAGTGGAATATAATTCCACGCGATCTGGGAATAAAGGGTTGGAGAATTAATAAAGGAGAATATTTATAGTTTAGGGTTGACATGAGGGGTCCTTGGTGCTCTGAGGTTGCTTGATTTTTTGCACACATTTCATTACCCAAACTTAGGTAACACCATCAGTGGTAGTAAGGAGTGCTCTTTGCTGTCAATTAGTCTAGTGGCTTGCCTGTCAATGTTGGTTAGGGCGGTCATAGAGGTTCTTTGATTGGGCTGTTTGCTGTTGGCTTCTTTGGCAGTTTCTTGATTGGGGTATTGTTTACTTGATTGTTGGTCTAATGTTAACCTTGGAGTTAATCTGTGCTGATCTGAGTGGTGATCGCTGGTGGAGAGGTGCTTGGATCTTTTTGTTCCTTTTTGGGCTGGGTGATAGTCAGGGGTGGGATTCAACCGGTGTAATAACCGGTTCAGTGAGCATGCACTTTGAAGATTGTCAGAGCGAACCGGTTCCCTCTCAGCTGATCTTCAGAGCTACTGGTTTGGCAGAACCAGGCTGAACCGGTAGAATCCCACCACTGGTGATAGTCTCTTTTGCATAGTCTATAGATGTTGTTAATGTCTATGTGTCTATTGATGGATGATTTTTTAGAGTGCCAAGCGTCTAGCAATTCCCTGGTATTTTTGGACTTGGCTTGGTTTAGGATGGTCACATTTTCTAAATTGAAACTATGGTTAAATCTGTCTATATGTTGTGAAATTAAAGAATTTTCATCATGTCATCTGACTACTAGTTGGTATTTGTGGATGTGTTCTGCCAGTCTTCTGACTGTTGATCTTACATATTGGTTGTTGCATGTTGTAGATGACTCCTGTTTTTTCTTCTGGGGTTGTTGGGTCTTTTGGTCTGCTTAGGATGTTTTGAAGGGCTTTAATTGGTTTGTGTACTATGCTGTTCCATGTGGTTGTAGTAAACTGTTGGTAGTTTTGGGGATATTCTTCAGTGACGGGATTCAAATTGTTTTACCACTGGTTTGGTGGTTGTGGCTTGCTCAGAGTGCTTTGCCTAACGTCGGTATGCAGCTTTTCCCACACCCTCTGAGACCTTTAGTGTCAATCAGCTGAGAGGATAAAAAAGAAAACAGTGCAGGGGCAGGTGGGAGGGCTGATTGTATACTTTTAATTTATTTTATTTTTCATTTATTTATTTTGATTTGTCAATCACTTACAATATAATAGGTATAAGTATATACATAGTTATGAATACATGAAATGGGTACATATAAGAAAAATAAAAGAAACAATAGGACAGGGACGGTAGGCACATTGATGCACTTAATGCAAGCCCCTGACAGACCTCTTAGGAAAGGGGCGAGGTCAATAGTAGACAGTCTAAGGTTAAAGTTTTTGGGGTTTGGAGAAGAAACCACAGAGTCAGGTAGAGTATTCCAGACATTGACTACTCTGTTGCTGAAGTCGTATTTCCTGCAATCAAGTTTGGTGCGGTTAACCTTGAGTTTGTATCTATTGTGTGCTCTTGTGTTGTTATGGTTGAAGCTAAAGTATTAATTGACAGGTAAGTCATTGCAATGTATGATTTTATATACCATACTTAGATCAGACCGAAGACGGCGTAATTCAAGGTTTTCTAGGTCTAGAATTTCAAGCCTGGTGGCATAAGGTATTCTACAACGAGTAGAGGAGTGGAGAACTCTTTTTGTGAAATATTTCTGGATTTTCTCAACTGTGCTAATATCAGATACGTAATGTGGGTTCCAGACTGATGAGCTGTATTTGAGTATTGGTCTAGCAAATGTTTTGTATGCTCTAGTTAGTAGTGTGATATTACCAGAGAAAAAGCTACGTAGGATTTTCCTCTCAGCTGATCATTGGAGGATTTCTTTCCTTCTCTCAGCTGATCTTCAGCTTTTTTAATTACCAGTTTGGCTGAACCGGGCCGAACCTGTAGCATACCACCACTGATATTTTTGATGTATGGCAGTAATTCTTTTTAGATTTTGTGTTGGTTGTGCAGTATTGGATTGAGTGGTCAGGAACTTTTTAATAAATAGATATCCATTTTGTTAGATTGTTGTTTTTTCTTCAGTATCTGGCTCTTCAGTATCTAGCTCTCCGTTTGAATGCAATATGTATTACAGGATGCTATGGGTTCTCTTCATTTAGCTAATGCTACAGGCTACAGTACCCTGGACTATGGACATTGCATGGGAATTAATCTGATATGAAATGTAGGCATGGGACTATAGACACATTGAAAATTAAAGACTAGTCACTGAAACTATTTTAACCATATAATGCCCTTGCCAACAGAGAGAGATTTGGAATGATGAAGACTTAAGCAAGAATGCCAAACATAGAAGAGTAACAAATATAGACAGTGAAGGCAAATAACATTACAGATTGAAAGATTAATGACAGAATGCTAATTAGTGGTCCTTGAAGACATGAGCAACACGTGACTATTCAATGTCTACAAGTATGAGTTACAAATTAAAAGCAGAGATTATTAACTTCATTTCAAAAATTGAGTGCTGAATTGTTTTTATGTTTTGTTTGTTTTAAAGGAGCAATTAACAACTGTAATACATTTGGCATGGGAAACCTGAGCTGGGTTTTGCAACATTTTCATCTTGACAAATACCAAATAATCTGAAACTGAGATTGTTCCAGCTTTTAGACGGATTGATCATGTCCCATCAACTTATCAACCATTAGTGACCACAGAGATAGATTTTCTCAATTGTTTGATCTTTCAGGTCTTCTAATGGTGCACTCATTGCCCATGTAAATGAGTCTACCCACCTTTTTGCTTGTCATCTTCTTTTTCCTTCTAGTTTTCCCAGCATGAGAACCTTCTTTAGGCAATTGGTTATTGCACAATATCTCTGAAGTAGTCTAATTTGAGCTTAATCATTAATCATTGTGGACTCTGGATTGATTTATTTGAGGATAGATTGGTTTGTTTCTTGGTTATCCAAAGTATTCTCAGGAGTTTTCTTTAACAACAAAATTCAAAAGCATCAATACTCTCCTATTCTGCTTTTTTAAAGTCCAACTTTCACACCCATAGATTATCACTGGAAATTCTATTGGTTACATAATTCTGAGCATTGTAGGTATTATACTTCCTGGTATTTGAATTTCTTTTGCAAGGCCTAAAGGACTAATGCTACCAAGTATTAGCCTGTGGCTTATATCTTAATGGCTCATTTTTTTACGGTTGGTGGTTGATTATAAAAGGCAGAAGTTATCCATCACTTTGATATCTTCATTGTCAATTCTAAAGTTAGTTGTTCTACCTATTGTTATAGTTTGGTCTTCTTTATATTTAATTTAAACCCAATTTTCCACTGTGTTCTTTGACTATTATTAACTTGAGCTTGTCAGTTCTTTGCATTTTCAGTTATCAGGATAATGTAATCAGCATAGCACTGGCTATTGATGTTTTTCCTCAGCTTTAAAATCATATTCTGATCCAGATTACCATAATCTGATCCAGATTACCATTCAGAATATAGGGGGATCACATGGGATTAAATCAAATCTGGAAAATCACATTCATTTTTATTATTTATTTTTACTATTTACATATGAAAAGTGCAAGCAAATATGAGGCAAAGGAGCAGCCTCATTTTAATGCAAAATTAATTTACAATTTCCATTACAGAAACCTTTCCGTTTTATTTTATTCATGAAATCCAGCCCAAACCCTTTGACTTCAATAGCTTTGGTCTTACAAGCTGCCAATTAAATAACCTGAGAATTACTCAGAATCAAGTCCATTTTATTAATTGGACTGATTCCCAAATAAGTGTGTGCAGGGTTCTAGTCTGGGAATATATAATGATAAGATAAAGTAAGGTGAGGTGAGATGAAGTGAATGAAATGAGATAAAATAATAAATATAATATAATAAAAATCCCGATGGAAATAAATGGTTAGTCTTTGTAAAGATGGTATGGTGTGGGGAATAAAACTTTCTAGAGCCATAGGTATAGTTGACATACAAATATTTGTAAATAATCAAGCATACTCTTTTATTGGTAAAGTAATACAAGAGTATGTTTGATTATTGAGATTCAGATGTGAGATTCATAAGAAACTGTGTGGGGCAGGAACAAAAATTAAAAACAATTTTCACAATATGATTCTGCCAGGTTTTCTGGTTTTCAGGTTTCATGATCAACTTTACAATGCTTGAAATTTTGGGATTTGAAGTACAGTATATTTTGAAGGCATCCAGTTAGGATTTTGGAATAGTAAAAAGTATCCATCAATTCCCAATCAAGTTTGGTGCAATATAGAAGTAGTTTGCCAATATAAGTTTCAGGATTTTTTTAAAAAAACTTAATTGTCTGGTCTACTGCCTTGGTATTCTTAACAGTCTCCCATTTAAGTATCAACCTTATCAAATCAAGTTTAGTTTGTAAAATCAGACAAGGAGAGTTGGAAGTCTGGATTAAGGGGCTGGTAACAGTCTTTGCAGTCAAGCCCAGAAATTGATGTGATTGTCACTTGGCTACCAATTTCTAGGTTCTATTATATCACATGACCTAAAATGGACACCTAACATAAAAAACATCATCAAAAAAGCACAACAAAGAATGTTCTTTCTGCGTCAACTCAGGAAGCTCAAACTGCCCATGGAGCTGCTGATACAGATCTACAGAGGAATTATTGAGTCTGTTATCTGCACCTCTATAACTGTCTGGTTTGGTTCTGCAACCCAACAGGATAGACACAGACTTCAGAGGATAATTAGGACTGCAGAAAAAACAATTACTACCAACCTCCCTTCTATTGAGGACCAGTATACTGCATGAGTCAAAAAGAGGGCTGTGAACATATTTACAGACCCCTCACATCCTGGACATAAACTGTTTCAACTCCTTCCCTCAAAACGATGCTATAGAGCACTGCACACCAGAACAACTAGACACAAGAACAGTTTTTCCCAAACACCATCACTCTGCTAAACAAATAATTTCCTCAACACTGTCCAACTATTTACAAAATCTGCACTACTATTACTATTAATCTTCCCACCACTCCTTATCACCCATCCCCTCCCACTTGTGACTGTATGACTGTAACTTTGTCCCTTGTATCCTTATGATCTATATTGACTGTTTCCTAGTATGATTTGATTGCTTATTGTACCCTATGACTATTATTAAGTGTTATACCTTATGATTCTTGACTCTTGACAAATGTATCTTTTTCTTTTATGTATACTGAGATCATTTGCACCAAGACAAATTCCTTGTGTGTCCAATCACATGTGGCCAATAAAGAATTCTATTCTATTCTATTCTATTCTGTTCTGTTCTGTTCCGTTCCGTTCCATTCCATTCCATTCCATTCCATTCCATTCCATTCCATTCCATTCTATTCTATTCTATTCTATTCTATCCACAATATAAATTGCTAAGATATGTGGCAAAGTTCCCTGACTGGCTGCCTTCCAAATATGTCATCACACATCAAGAGGAATTATGAACATTAAATTCCAACATACATGGAAAGAATCAGATTAGGAAAGGTGATCAGCTCTTGTTTCTTTCTGTCCTCCAAAAGTTTTTGCCCACCTATGAGTTTTGTGCATAAAAAATATTGTCAGCTTATTTTGGCTACCTCATATATTTTTTCCATGAAATGGGTTAGAATTAGGGTTATCAGGTAAGGGTTGACATTTGTCTCTGTAAACCTTTGTAGCTATGCTATTGTTACAAAAAGGATATTACACCAATTGATTACATTTGTGGCTGGCAAAAACTTTTCAGATATGAGATTCTAACAGCAATAGTAGGCAAAAAAGGAACAAGAGCCAAGCAATTTATACATAATTTCTTATAACAAGGACAGTTTTAATAATGCTTCTATTATATGATTAAATATTAGTTTTCTGGGAACATCCAGTCCATAAACTCTGACCATCCAAAGGCTAAATAGATTGTTAAGCTGAATTGAGCAAACATTTTCAAAGATAGTGTTACATGCTGCATTTTCAAATCTTGACTCATTCTAAACCAGTGTTTCAGTTGTATTTGATACTGGCTGGGTAATTCTGGAAGCTGGAGACCGCAAGTCTTAAAGTTACCAAGGTTGACTAGCTTTGTTTTAGATACTGCATGAGTAAAAAGACTGAATTAAAGCGACAAAATTTTAAATGACACAAGCACAGGAAATTTACAGTTAAGGCAAATTCACACAATATGGTAATAATGAAGTGTTTGCGCAAAATAAATATTGTGTAAATTATTAAAGTTTTTTTTAAAACCTTTGACTATTAAAAAGCCTCTTTTAAGTGAATTTGCATTGGAAATATTCCAATATTCCTGCTTTGGGTCATAAACTATGTATTGGCTTTCTAAACTTTTTTTGTGTGTAATAAGGAAACCACGCAGTATGAAAAAAATCCATTAAAAAGAAATGACTTTCTTAAAGAACCCATCCCTCTTTCTTGGCTATACAAGCAAAGCAGGGCAGAATATTCAGTTGAAGCCTGCTTTAATATTAACCTGCAGCTGTGAACTTGTGTTATTACAGAAAGGAAGTAATAAAAAATCATCCTGATGTGAAAGCATATTAGAAATCAAAAATGAACAGGCTTGAGGCATTTGCACAGTTCTCTAGTAAGCAACTATATAAACCGGCAACAGCTCAATTTCTAAATGGTTCGTAGGATTACTTTGACTTTAGATCAATCTGAACTCATTCTTGCTGAGCGGAGGAAAAAAAATCATCACCAAACCACAACTCACAAATGTCTCCATCACTGTATGGGATTGAGTCCTCAGAATTTAGTTTAATTTAGTTTAGAGCTTAGTTTAATTCACCTAACAAAACCTAGTCTTTTAATCAGAATATGGTCCAATGAAGAATATACTGCGTGAACTAGATGACTGTGATATTTTGTAACTGAAATAGCTGCTTAAAGTATGATCCAAAATAGGAACATTTCTACAAAACGATTACCAAAGGAGCTATCAAACGAACAGCTATAAAAAATCTGCTGAAACCCTATTCTTTTTGACATTCACAAATGGCATACTTGAAAATATTGCCTTTCTCAGGAAATATTTGACATTGAAATAATATAGAAGAGCTTGTTTTGGATTGAAATTTGTTACACTAAAAAACCCCAAATTATATATGACTTGTTTATATTATTGTTGCTAAATGGATAGAAATTATAAGTATCAAATAGCAAGATTCTATTCATTTAGTTACAAATACATTTTTCCCATTTTTTTTCAACATTCAGGCTGCATCTCAAATCTTGTAAATTTAGACTGCATCACACCCAAATATAAGCCCTACAAACATATAAACATTAAAACCTTGATAAGGCAGTAGACTTGCATATCGATACTTGTATAGATTGGATTAATCTAGTGTAGGGTTGTCAAGCTAAAGGCCCGCGGGCCAGATTCAGCCTGCAGGGTGCTTAGATCTGGTCCCTGGAGCTGGCCTGGAAATAGTGAAGGACTGGCCTGCGGTGCCTCTGCCAGCAAAAATGGAGCTCAGGAGGGCTGCATGTGGCCCTCCGGAGCACTGTTTTTGGCTGCAATGGCCCTGTCCCAGTGAAAACAGAGCTCAGGAGGGTTGTGTGCAGCCCTCCCAGGGTCCGTTTTTACCGGCATGGGGCTGCAGGAGGCTGTCGCAGCTGAAAACGGAACCCGGGAGGGCCATGCGAGAGCTGCGGGATGTTGAACTGGCCACAACCACCCAGCCACACCCACTCACTCTCCAATTCAAACACAACCCTGATGCGGCCCTCAATGAAATCAAATTTGACATCCCTGATCTAGTGGTTAAAGCACTAGGCTACAATGCCTGAGACTGTGAGTTCAAGCCCTGCCTTAGCTATGAAAGCCAGTTCACAAAGTTGCCAGTTCACAAAGTTCACAACTCGACCAGGGCAAAGCAATAGACGCAATCTACATAGACTTCTACAAAGCCTTTGATTCAGTGGTACACGACAAACTACTCCTAAAAATAAAATCTTATGGTATCTCTGGACAACTGAATAACTGGATAGAAGCATTCCTGTCAAACAGACAACAAATGGTCAAAATTGGGAACGCCCTATCAAATCCAGTACCTGTCAATAGTGGTGTTCCCCAAGGCAGTGTTCTAGGACCAACTCTCTTCATAATCTACATAAATGACCTTTGTGATCATATCAAGAGCAATTGCGTTCTCTTCGCTGATGATGTAAAGCTGTTCAATACCACAGACAATACTACTACCCTTCAAAAAGATCTAGACTATGTATCTGAATGGTCTAACATATGGCAACTCCAAATCTCAACAAATAAATGCTCTGTCTTACATATTGGTAAAAAAAATCAGAAAATAAAATACAAGCTGAATAGTCAAGATCTTGTTGATGACCCAAGCTCTGTAAAGGACCTGGGAATACTCACCTCTAATGATCTAAGTGCTAGAGCTCACTGCAACTACATAGCCAAAAAGGCATTAAGAGTTGTTAACCTAATCCTACGTTGCTTTTTCTCTGGTAATATCTCACTACTAACCAGAGCATACAAAACATTTGCTAGACCAATACTCGAATACAGTTCATCAGTCTGGAATCCTTATCACGTATGTGATATTAACACAATTGAGAAAGTCCAGAAGTATTTCACAAGAAGAGTTCTCCACTCTTCTACCCGTTATAGAATACCTTATGCCACCAGACTCGAAATTCTAAAACTAGAAAACCTCGAATTACGCCGTCTTCGGTCCGACTTAAGCATGGTATATAAAATCATACATTGCAATGTCCTACCTGTCAATGAATACTTCAGCTTTAAC